CATCTCTTGGATTAAAAGTCTGGGTCAGAAGTCTCTGTTAAAATGTCTCATGGGCCAAACACCACGAGAAAGAAATTTTTTATGAAATATCTCATGCGTTAAAAATAGTGGGTCTAACGTCCTGATACTGTAGGCATTCTCCGAATAATGAATTTTTATTATAATATTACAGATCTCTCAAATTGATTTATATATCATTATTAAGCAAAAATTTCCAGATGTATACCAGAAGCAGTTAATTGTTATCTCCTTTCAGAAAAGCAGCTTAATTGAGTGAATCAAAGAAGGGAAGTGTCAGTTTGTAGGATCCCAAACAAAAGCAGAAAACTAACCTTATATGTGTATAAGTCATGAAGACCCCATATTACTCACTTCTGTCTTCTTAACACTCTGATTCCCACTTACACTGGTCTGTCATACTTCATCTGTAAGAGAAGTTCATATTTTGATTCAGTTTTATTTACTTTTCCTTACTTTCTCATGTCAGAGCTGCCACTGGTATATTCTCATGATTTGACAGTACAGTTCGACACAACCAGGTACATATGCATATTTTATATAACATATTGCAGAAATGGGGACTGCTGCAGGGCATATCATGAAATGAATTTCAAAGTTTCTGTCATGGAATTTTATGTGGCAGACTGGTGGTTCTGTCTCATCCACTTTTATTTAAACTGGAAACCAGTTTTTTGAGTATTCTGTGAAATGCTTGCTTTCATTTACCAAATGTAGTAAACAGCCAGTGAGAAAACAGTGAAGTTGTGGTCTTGTTCACTTGAAGATCAACCCCACATATTTCTTTACTTCAGTGGGCTGATGAAATTGCAACTTTATGAGACAACGACTGCTGTTCTCATTGCACTGATCACATCTGTCATGGAAATAATCTCATAGAATGTGGAACATAAAGGTTAATGCATCCTGGCTATAAATTGGTAGTTTTGGCTATACATATCATTATATCATATCAGTATACATTATATCATTACACATTCTCAACTTGAATTGTTGTCAGGCTGCACCCGTCAGATTAAACATACTGTTGAATGACTACATATCGAGAATGTAAATAAGATTTAAAAGTTTGTGATGATTATATATTAATAAAATGATTGACTTTTTTGACATTATCCATCTTCCAGTTTTTATTTTAAACAAAGTATCAGAGACAGGACTCTGTCTCTGTGCTCAAATAAAAAGCCTACTCAGTTGGGCCCAGTCTTTGGTTCTGACACCAGAACCAATACAAGGCAGGTTATAAAAGCCAGACACAATATAAACTTTGGGGAGAGTTGAGATAAACATTCCAGAATGTCACGTACATGAGATCTTGCAACTATTGCCATGTGTAATGTTATGGCCAGAGTCTGACGTAAAAAAGTAGCCAAAACTAAAAAGTCCAATTCTAAAGGAATAGATTGTAAAATCAATGACAGGACTGTGGACTATTAAAATTGCTGATAAGAGAAAGATACAGATCCAAAAAGCAAGGTAATAAAGGTAAAGTTGCCCCTGTGCTTAACGCATTAAGCACTACACCATGAAGGCATATGGAAGATTGGATGTATAGATCCCCATTTTCTTGAGCTTGGCACTACCTGAAGGTGTAGTCAGCTTCACGGCCTGGCCGCTTTACCCCCCAGGGAAAGATCCCCCAGTACCCATTGGATAGGAGGTTTTGTGGACCACAGCCAGTTTTGACTGCTTGGAGAAGATAGAATTTTTGACCCTACTTGTACTCGAATTCCGACCCCTCCGTTGTCCAGCCCATAGCCTGTCACTATACTGACTGTGCTATCCCAGCTATAGATCCAACAAGTGTCAAGAATAAATATGTTTTAAATAAAAGGCAGGATGATGGATAATGTTCAAACGGTCAATAATTATATGAAGGATGTGATTGCACAGTAATTCTGAATTTCTGTGATGGAGTCAAGTTGTGTTATATCTTTTCATTTTGCTATCTTATCTGACAATACTTCTTGCAAAATGAAGGTACTTTGACTTGTCTCAGAGGAAGCCATTTTGTTTTCAAGCAGGTTTGCTTCCCAAATAAAAGAGATTAAAAGTATGCAAAACAACATAGGAATGGAATGAAAAGAATTCAGAAGTCTTAGTCACTATTTAGTAGGAATCTTTCCCAAAAATTATATCTCAGCAATAGTTAAACCAGTAGGGGCAGCTGTTCAGGTGTTGTTCCAATGTAACATTTGTGGGAAACATTTTACACATAAGGCTAAATTAAATGAACATATAACAAGACATGGAAGGAAGGCTGCACGTCTGAAATGTGTTGCAACACATTTGCAGTCTGAAGAAACATGATACATCACACACAGGAAAGAAGGCATATGTGTGCAGTGTGTGGGGCAAGAGGTTCGCATTGCTTACCCATCTGAGCACCCATTTGCAGTCTGAAGAAACATGATACATCACACACAGGAAAGAAGGCATATGTGTGCAGTGTGTGAGGCAAGAGGTTCACATTGCTTACCCATCTGAGCACCCATGATTCATTCAGAGCAGAAATCACATTGCATTACGTCACACAGGAAAAACCCCTTTCAGTTCTACTGTGTATGGTAAATGTTTCAGAAAAACACCTTGAGAATTCATATAGCAGCTCATGCAGGTCAGAAACCTCATGTGTGCAGAATCTGTGGTAAAGAGTTTTGTGCTATGTGGACACTGTAAGACACATGCAGTTGTCCAGTGGTTCCACTTTACTGGGAAACATGATCTGAAGAAATATGCATCTAAGCACAGTGTTCATTCATAGCTTTTCTGTAGTGTACACCTGTTCCAGGTAAACTAGATGCATACCAGAGGAGCTACAGCACAGGTTTGGACTTTGATGACGTGCTATTGTTCCATGTGTGTGTGAAGTTTTCTTTGAAAGTGCAGTACACAAATAACAGACATGATGTAACTTGCTCATGTGGCTGTGAACATGTGATTAATATACAGATGTGTGTTGCATTCAACTACAAAAACATATTTTTATCATGAATTCCTAGGAGAATACTAACATTTGGTAATAGGAAAGTCAGAATGTTTACTCTAAACATTGAACTTATATGGATTTATGAGAAGTAAAATTTTATGTTTGTATATTAACATAATGCTGTTTAGAACAGAAGATGATCTCTGGTAAGGCGTATTTTTGGTACAGCGATCATGTGATTGGGGCACATGTCTTCTATTTGATAAGCGCAGCTAGAATTTATCATGAGGCTGTATTGGGGTTCTCTTTCCACATGACTTCCGTTTTAAGTTCATTGTACATTCTCATCATGGTTATTACTAACGTGGAAAGGAATATGACTTGGGTAAGGGAATTTCAACAAAAATTGAATTAATGTGAAGTAGATGTACAGGAAGCACGTGCATATTATTATTATTATTATTTTTGGTGGGCCTTCATTCCCATAATAGAGCATTTAAAAATTTTACCTTTAATGTGACTGGAATATGAGATGGCTGGTTGGATAGACAGGCCATATTGTTGAGCAGATATCATTATGGAGGTTTTCTACTCAGTCGCATATGCTTATTGTTTTTCTTTTTATTTTGCATGAGTAAACATTTATAAAGTATGATAAAAAGTAAAGTAAAGCTATCCCTGTAAGAGGCTGTGGAGGCCAGTAGGGTTGTGAGATGTTGAAGGTCACATATTATCTAGACAGTCGGCTCAAAGATGGCGGTAAGGTTGTCAGCCTTGCGTGGTGGCCGCTCTTTACTCCCCAGGAAATTATTTAATTAATTTCTGGTACTCATTTTTGTTAGAGGCTAAGTCGACCCCAAGGCCATAACGATGCTGTATAAAATATCATAGATCACATATTTAAATTTTTTCTGTGTAATGTGTTCATATAACGTGTCTGTGTATACACATCTCCAGGTTTTGTTTGGCTTCTGATATTTACCCATTTGATGTACTTACCTACTTACATATGGAGCTGAGCTCTTCTTGAGGAGAAGCCAAAACTGCAGCTACTCAAGAATTTCTCGACATTTTATGGAATCTGGAGATTCATTACCGTGTTCACAGGAGCTCTCCACTGGTCCCTATCCTGAGCCAGCTCATTCCAATTCTATCTCTCTAAGAGCCATTTTAATAATTTCCACCCACCGATGCCTTGATCTTCCCAGTTGTCTCTTTCCTTCTGGCTTTCCCACTGCTATCCTATATGCATTCCTCTTCTCCCCCATTCGTGCTACATGCCCTGCGCACGTCATCCTCCTTGACTTGATCATTTAAGTATACTTGAAGAAGAGAACAAGTTATGAAGCTCCTCATTATGCAGTTTTCTCCAACCTGTCACCTCATCTCACTTCAGTCCAAATATTCTCAACACCCTGTTCTCAAACACCCTCGGGCTATGTTCCTTCCTTCATGTCACAGACCAAGTTTCACACCCATACAGAACCACAGGCAAACTTATAGTTTTGTATATTCTAATTTTTATGTTTTTGGCAGTTTGTGTAAATAGAAATTTGTTTCCACTTCAGTACTCCAGCCAGTTACAAAGTTCTGATATTTCACTATGTGTTTTGTATTGATAGTGATAAGAAGTAATGAATGTAAATTAGTTTATATAACCCAGTTGTCAGTCATTGATATTGTATGAACACATTTGCATATGAACAAGTTAAATATGTGGTTCTTGATATAGAAAAAACTCTGAGCTTATATGATCAATCCCAAGACCTCCATAGTAAGAGCCCACAGTGCTAACCTTAAGGCTGCCAGGTTTTTCTGTTGATGTTATCATATATTGTAGTTATATCAAAGGGAAAATTCTGAGTCAACACTTTTGGAACTAAGACTCATTGGATGAAAGGACAAGACACATGCCACTAATTTCCATCTACTTCCCATTGAAATCCACACCCCAAGTCTCATGCCTTCTTATTGCTGTTAATATCAGTAGTCAATACATTAGTAAGGAGCAATTGTAACATGTTTTAGAGGTAGCTATTTTCTTTTGATGCAGGTTTTCTTCGACTTTGAAAGACATTGGAGAGTCTGCACAACAACACTGCTTTACAATGGAAGGAACTGAGAAGCATAGTTCACAACCCTCTGAGGAACTTTCTCAGTGTCATGCTTCAGTAGTAGTCGATCCAATTAAGGGTTTGTTCCCCTGTAATATTTGTGGTAAAAGTTTCATAAATAAGAGTAAACAGAAGGAACATGTAACAAGACATGTTGGGGGAAGGCCACATGTATGTGAAGTGTGCGGAAAGAGATTCAAGGAGCGTAGCGGCCTGAAGAAACATGCTATTTCTCACACAGGAGAGAAGGCACATGTGTGTGAGGTGTGTGGCAAAAGGTTCACATTGCTTACCCATCTGAAGACCCATAATTTGGTTCATACAGGGCAGAAATCACATGTGTGTGATATCTGTGGCAAGAGATTTGGTCAGCTAGGCAACTTCAGGAAACATGCATTACTTCACACAGGAGAGAAGCCCTTCAATTGTAGTCTATGTGGTAAATGTTTTTCTCAGAAAGACACCTTGAAGATGCATATAGCAGCTCATGAGGGCCAGAAGCCACATGTGTGCAACATCTGTGGTAAAAGGTTTGCTCAACGTGGATGTCTTAAGACACACGTAATTGTCCATTCTGGACAGAAGGAATTTTGTTGTAATGTCTGTGGTTCCAGTTTTACTAGGAAACATAATCTGAAGAAACATGCAGTTAGGCACCTTGTTCACTGACAGATTTTTCTATGGGGTACACCTTGACTGGCTAAACCAGATGCATACCTGAGGAGCTGCACAACAATTTTGAACTTTTGTGAAGTGTTATTGTTCCATGTGAGTGAAATATCCTTTCAAGTTCAGTACACAAATAATGGAAATGATAGAGCTTGCTCATGTGACTGCGAATATGAGATTTATATATGAATGTGTGTTGCATTCAACTACAGAAACTTTTTGTTTACTGTGAATTTCTTGGAGAATTCTAGCATTTGTTAATAGGAAAGTCTGAAAGTGTACTTGAAGCATTGGACTTGTATAGATTTATAAGCAGTAAAATATTATGTTTGTATATTACTGTAATTCTGTTTAGAACAGCATATGATCAGGAGGCAGGGTAGTGTAGTTGGTATAGCAACTAGCTACAGTCTGGATGACCAAGGGGTCAGAGTTCGAGTACTGGTAGAGTCAAGAATTTTCTCTTCTCCACATTGTCCAGACCGGCTCTGGGGTCTACCCAATCTCCTTTCCAATGGGAGGACCCTATCCTCAGGAGGGAGGGGGTTAAAGTGGCCAGGTTGTGAAGCTGCCCACTCACCTCCAGCTAGTACTAGGGTCGAGAAAATGTGGATCTAGACACCTTGAGGGTGTCGTGTTTAATTATTTAAGTGAAGGAATATGTTTTGCTTTCACCTTACAGCATATGATCTCTGGTAAGGAGTATTGCTGATACAGCTGGTTCTGTGAATGGATCACATGTCACATTTGATAAGTGCATCTAGAATTTATCATGAGGCTGTATTAGGGTTTTCCTTCCACATGATTTCCATTTTAACACTTTGTGGACCGGCAATATAAATATTTAAATCACTCTGGGGACCGGCATTTTTATACCTACTACACTAACTTGTGCACTGTTCACTTTAAAAATTAATATAAAATCTCCTAATTAATTTTATGAACTAAAATTGATGGAGACCCCTTACCAATGCTCCTAGAAGTGCTTGAGAGTGTGATATTTCTGGAAACATTCCCCTTTGTGAAGTGGCATTACACACTTGCAAATGTAGACAGTCATAGTCCTTTTTTTGAGAACTGCGCAAACACTGCATTGCCTAGAAGGATGCTTCCCCTTGGAATGTTCACTCTTCACTATTTTCACGAGGGTATGTTTCCACATATCACCCAAGAGTCACCCGGGGTTGTCCACTTGAGGCCTGCGTGGGGTGGGAGGTGATGGGCTAGGTCGCACTAAGTCTGACTCTGGTTCTGCCGCCACCATCTGGTCTGTAGCCCAAGCCTTTGCCACATTCATCAGAAATGCTTTGTATTTCAATTTTGAATCATTGTTTAGTTTTTTGTAAACGAAAAATGAATTGAAAATGGCACAATTTATAAGCCACAAGGCAACTTTCACTTTTATTATCTGTGGCTGCAATTCTTTGTTGACCCCTGTCACTTCCAATGTGTGAGTCACTTCTCCACAAGGCACGTCGGATGTAGCTCAGTGGAAAACAAGTCAGAGAGATTGCTTTGCCTTCAGCCACTTTTGTCCTTGAAACATATTCCCCTGTACTAACTTCCTGCCTGGTACATAAACAGCTGGAAGGGGAAAAGTTTATTTTCTTTTGGAGTAGGGACCCTAGCCAGCCAGGTCAAGTTAGTGAATACCTAGCATACATTCCGAAGATTTATTACGCAGTATTCATTGCAGTTGCATGGCGCCAGAGCAAGGTATAGTGTGTTAAACGTAATGTGTCCTAAGCCTGATATCATGCGTCCGGTCCGCAAAGTGTTAAGTTCATTGTACATTCTCATCATGGTTATTACTAACATGGAAAGGGAATATGACTTGGGTAAGGGAATTTCAACAAAAATGAAACTGATGTGAAGTAGAGGGACAGTAAACACGTGCTTATTGTTTTTTTTTTTTCAGTGGGCCTTAATTCCCATAATAGAGCATTTAAAAATTATACCTTTAATATGACTGCAATATGAGATGGCTGGCTGGATAGACAGGCCATGTTGTTGAGGGGATAAAATTATGGAGGTCGTTTAGTCAGTCCCATATGCTTAAGAGTTTTTCCTTTTATTTTGCATGAGTAAACATTTTTAAAGTATCGTAGATTAAAATTTGTTCTGTGTAATATATTCATATAACATGTCTGTCTACACACATCTCCATGTTTTGTTTGGCGTCTGATGTGTATTAATTTGATGTATGAATTTTAAAACATTTCATGAAAGTGACATTAAGCAACATCTTTGTTCGATTGTATTCACGTTTCTAGAACAATGTACACGTATCAGTTCAGTTTTCTCCTGTGGTGTGTACCATACTGAAATATCTTTCCGTTCATTCATAGCTGTTGATGGAGAACACAGTAGGTATTGAATATGGTACTTGTGCCAGATGTGAGTTTTGGCCATATCCCCCCCCCCAAAAAAATGAAGTTTCTCCATTGCATTCCATCACCACTTTGTTGGCAGTTTGTGCAAACTGGAATTTATTTTACTTCAGTACTACAGCTAGTTACACAGTTATGATATTTCAATATGTGTTTTGTATTAATACTGATAAGAAGTAATGAATGTAAATTAATTTATATACCTCAGTTGTCAGTCATTGATATTGTATGAACACGTATTAAAGATAAGCAGCGGCACGCACACAGGGAGCCTACACAGAATAATACCTGAACAGTGCTGAAAACAAGAAGTAGCTGCTGCAGCACTATAGACATAGGGCGGGTACCCCTGAGAATTTTAAATTTTGAAATATTTTAAAGAAATTTTTGAATTTGAATTGAATATTTAAAAGTGCCAGTTTTTGAAAATCAAATTGATGTGTGTAGGTTAGTTAGTTATTTATTGGAGAGGGTGGGTTTCCCCATGCACTGAGACCTGTATTGGTCCATTGTGCTTCCCTCTATGATTTCTACCAGTCTCTATATCCTACCGGTACTGGTGCTTACCATCAGTCCCGCCCAGCCAGCGAGACCGGCTGTACTAGCTGAGAGGTATCTATAATGCTTCCCTCATCTACCAGAGGTATTAGAGACTGCTGTTGGGCGGGAAACGTCCGTTAATTTGGCTCAGTGACCTCCTTTGGAGATATGAGGTTTTTTACGTGCCGTAAAGCTACAACACGGGACCCACGGCTTAAAGTCCCTCCCGGAGGACTTGTTCCCTGAATTTTTCCGCCCTTAAAAATTCGACGACCTCCGCTGGGTATTTGAACCCGCGTACTATGAATCATGAGGTGGGAACGTTACTTCTAGACTAAGGAGGCCACTATGTGTGTAGGTTAACAAAGATTTTGTACAAATCTGACATCAGCAGAGAGGATTCTGAAATATTGGGACCTGTTAGCAATGGAGAAGTGAACAACTGGGAAGACTGATGTTTTTTAAATTTTAAACTACATGCAGTGTAGCAGCTACATGAGAGTATACACCTGATGATGGCCATTTACGGCCGACACATGTAGTGTAGAAGAAAGGAAGACGAAAGAACTACAATAAATTGTTTCACTTGGGATAGAGTTTGTGTGATGTATTGTGTAGAGTGTAACAGGATGTTTATATATAATATTGTATGAACATATTTGCGCATGAACAAGTTAAATATGTGGTTCTTGATATGGAAAAAACTCTGAGCTTATATGATCAATCCCATGACCTCCATAGTAAGAGCCCACAGTGCTAACCTTAAGGCTGCCAGGTTTTTCTGTTGATGTTATCATATATTGTAGTTATATCAAAGGGAAAACTCTGAGTCAACACTTTTGGAACTAAGACTCATTGGATGAAAGGACAAGACACATGCCACTAATTTCCATCTACTTCTCATTGAAATCCACACCCCAAGTCTCATGCCCTCTTCTTGCACTTAATATCAGTAGTCATTACATTAGTAAGGTGCAGTTGTAACATGTTTTAGAGGTAGCTGTTTTCTTTTGATGCAGGTTTTCTTCAAGCATGAAAGACATCGGAGAGTCTGCACAACAACACTGCTTTACAATAGAAGGAATTGAGAAGCATAGTTCACAACCCTCTGAGGAACTTTCTCAGTGTCATGCTTCAGTAGTAGTTGATGCAGTTAAGGGTTTGTTCCCCTGTAATATTTGTGGTAAAAGTTTCATAAATAAGCATAAACTGAAGGAACATGTAACAAGACATGTGGGGGGAAGGCCACATGAATGTGAAGTGTGCGGAAAGAGATTCACGGAGCGTAGCAGTCTGAAGAAACATGCTATATCACACACAGGACAGAAGGCATATGTGTGTGAAGTGTGTGGCAAAAGGTTCACATTGCTTACCCATCTGAAGGCCCATACTTTGGTTCATACAGGGCAGAAATCACATATCTGTGATATCTGTGGCAAGAGATTCAGTCACCTAGGCAGCTTGAGGATACATGCATTACTTCACACAGGAGAAAAACCTTTCAGTTGCAATATGTGCGGTAGATCTTTTACTCAGAAAAACAACTTAAAGACTCATATAGCAGCTCATGCGGGTCAGAAACCACATGTTTGCAGTGTCTGTTGTAAGAGTTTTGCTCAGCATGGACATCTTAAGACACATGCAATTGTCCATTCTGGACGGAAGGAATTTTGTTGTGATGTCTGTGGTTCCAGTTTTACTAGGAAACATAACCTGAAGAAACATGCAGCTAAGCACGTTGTTCACTGACAGCTTTTGTGTGGGGTACACCTTGACTGACTAAACCAGATGCATACCTGAGGAGCTGCACCACAATTTTGAACTTTTGTGAAGTGTTATTGTTCCATGTGTGTGAAATATCCTTTCAAGTTCAGTGCACAAATATTGGAATGATAGGGCTTACTCATGTGACTGTGAATATGAGGTTTATATATGAATGTGTGTTGCATTCAACTACAGAAACTTTATGTTTGCTATGAATTATTAGGAGAATTCTAGCATTTGTTAATAGGAAATTCATAAAGTGTATTCTTGAGCATTGAACATGTATAGCTTTGTAAGAAGTAGAACTTCATGCTTTGTGTATTACCATAATTCTGTTTGGAACAGCATATGATCTCTATTAATGAGTATGATTGATACAGCAGGTCTCATGACTGGATCACACATTTCACATTTGAGTAAGAAATAAAGGTAAATTTGTCCTGGTGCTCAACTAATTAAGCACTATGAGATGAAGGTGTATGGGGGAGTGAATGTCTAGATCCACATTATCTTAACCTTGGCACTAGTTGGAGGTGATTGTTCAGCCTCACACTCCGGCAGCTTTACCTCTGGAGGACCCCCCCCCCCAATTTCAATTCCAATGGATAGGATGCTGTGTGGCCCCCAGAGCTGGTCTGGA